ACCCGTGTCCCCTGCATCGGCAGGCGGACTCTCAACCACTGCGCCACCAGGGAAAGCCCTGCATGCTTCTTTTGATAAGCTTTTGGAAAGTTCATCACTTTTCCAGAACAGACCGGCTTTTCTTTTTATGAATTCTAGAGTTTTCCTTGAGTCTCTCCTCATCAACTATCTGGACAAAGACAGTTGAGTGTGGTGCCCTCTGCATTGGCCTTTACATTTCCCCGGATTTCCCAAACCACATCAGTGTATCAAAAGACTTGAGCAGATCCCTGTTGGGGTATTTGAAAAATGTAAATTTTCATTTCCAAACGTGTTCTCAAACAGGAGGAAGATAAGTAAAAATCCTGTTAGGTTCTGTATGCAAAAACATGAACACATAGTATTAGGTGATTAGATAATAAGGATGCTAGAGGAATCCTTGCATTGCTTGGTGGAATTTGTACCCCTGGAGCTGCCGTAACAAATTACCGCCAAACTGGGAAGCTTAAAACCACAGGCATTCATCCTCTCTGAATCCTGGAGACCAGACGTCTGAGGTCAAGGTGCCCCAGGGCCACGCTCCCTCCAGAGGCTCCAGGGGAGGGTCCTTCCTGCCTCTTCCAGCTTCTGGGGGCTCCAGGCGTCCCTGGGCTTGTGGCCACATCCCTCCTGTCCTGTCTTCACGTGGCTTCTCCTCTGTGTCTGGGTCTCTCCTCTTCTGTCTCTTGGAAGGACCCTGTCACTGGATGTAGGGCCACCCTCATCCAGGAGGACCTCATCTCAGACCCTTCCCTTCATCACCTCTGCAAAGACCCTGTTTCCAAATAAGCTCCCGTTCCCAGGTTCCAGGGTTAGGAATTGAATCTGTCTCTTGGGAGACACAATTCAACCCTCAACTGGTGGGAGGAGACTTAGAAAAACGGTGTGTAGGTGAGCCAAACAGGACCAGGCCCACTGTGGGTCCCCTCCCAGTACAGAGGTTGAGTAGGGTTCAGATGGGCGATGTCGGTTTTCTGGTGCGTTGGTCCATTAGTGGATTTTTTCTGCAGAACGTGGTGCGGGAAAAGGGGGGAGACCAGAGGGGGATGGAGGGTGAAATCAGAGGGAGTGGCCTCCCCATCATTTCTGTCATTACCCCTGTGATCCCCATACCCCGAGATAAAACCCAGAGTGGTTTCCGTTTTCTCCTTTTGTAACTACCTGGCATTCCACGCTACTCTTACGGTCCCCATTCTGTGTGGATTTCCCCCCAGGTGTTTTGAGTTCCAGCAAACTTACAATGACCCACACAAACTTAAATCCTAGTAGCTTTGATTTTGCACCTGCTTCATTTACATTATGGGTTTTCAAAGACAAAATAAGGTGGTCGCTTTTTTTTACCTGGCGTCTGTAGGGCAAAGGCTTTGCCGTGGTCCCTGTGTGACCTCCCTCCTCTCGGGACAGTTTGTGGGTTTGGGGCTGAGGAAGACGACAGGTCAGTCCCTCCTGACCCTGCGAAATGCATTTTCTGCGCTTTCCCACACCTCACTCTGCAGTTCTTTTTTTTTTCCCCCTCTGTTGTGACTTTACTCATAGTAAAGTGATACCTTGTGTTCAAGGTGACCCCTTTATTTATTTTTTAAATTTTTACTGGAGTGTAGTTGAGAAATAGGTTTGGGTTTTTTTTTTCCCCCCGTTTTTTTGAGATGTGTTTGATGTATAACGCTGTATTAGTTTTGGGTGTGCAACACAATGACTGGATATTCGTATATATTGCAAACTGATCACCACAGTCTATCTAGTTAACATCCATCACCTCACATAGTTACACATTTTTTTCTCGTGCTGAGAACTTTTAAGATCTACTCGCTTAGCGGCTTTCAAGTAAACAATACAGAGTTACTAACTGTAGTCACCATGCCTTACTTGACATCCCCAGGACTTATTTATTTTGTAACTGTAACCTTCTACCCTTTAACCCCCTTCATCCATTCCCCCGATCGCTCACCCCTCACCTCTGGCAACCACCGTCGACTCTGTTTCTATGAGTTTGCCCTTTTTTAGATTCCTCATATATATGAGATCATACAGTGTGCGTTTTTCTTTGTTGGACTTACTTCACTTAGCCTAATGCTCTCAGGGCTCATCCGTGATGTCCCAAGTGGCAGGATTTCCTTCGTTTTTTAATTTTATTGGAGTATAGTTGATTATCACACTAAGTGAAGTACGTTAGACAAAGATCATATGCTGTCACTCATCTGTGGCATCTAATTAAAAATGATATAAATGAACTTACTTACAAAACAGAAACAGACTCACAGATTTCGAAAACAAACTTATGTTTACCAGAGGGGAAACGTGAGGGGGATGAATCAGTCAGGAACCTGGGATTAACATACACATACTAGTATATATAAAATAGATAATCGACAAGGCTTTCCTTCATTTTTACGCCGAGTAATATTCCATTTCGTCTCTTATTGGGCGGAGGTGGGTCATGTAACCGTCCTTACCTGCAGCAAAGCTAAAAGGGGGACTTTGCTACTTTCCAACGGGAGATATGGAGAGTTGGGGATGTATATTGGAGAGCCTGCCAACACCGAGCAGGAAAAGATGTTTGTCCTTTTTCTTTCTACTGCAATAACAACTTCATACCAGCACCACTGAATGTTGGTTTGGTCTTTAGCACATTCAAGCCGGTCAGCTTAAAAATTACAGCATGCTGGCTTCATCTACCGTCAACAAGACGGTTTCCCTATATCATCCTGTAATCTGACTGTGGTGCTGAGGGAGTTCTCCCATCTCTGCACTGCAGGCACTCTGCTTTGAGTTCTCAGTGTTTACAGCACACACAGCTCAGAGCAAAGCTTAAAAGAGGTTGCAGGCAGACAGGTAAAAAAAAAAAAAAAAAAAAAATCTGTTGAGTCATAGCCGTGTTGTCTTTCTTTTCATCGTTAGAATTTTAGCGTGTGGCGAGACAGTTGATAACGCTGATATAGTCATCTACCTGTTCTGTCAGAGAGATGAAAACAGTACGAGTCCAGACGGGTTCATTTGTTTGCCTTGGGTTCACAGAACAAGTCAAAGGCAAAACTTGCACTAGAAGCCATGCCAATGTCCTCAGTTCCCATTCATGCGCCCTTTACCAAGCGATCACCTAAACCGTGTCCATTCACTCTCCTCGGAGCCCTTTCCGTACTTGCCTCTCTGTGTGGATCCGCTTGCGCAGAACTTTGTCAGCGCTGCCTAACTGTGGTGCAGTTCTGTTTTTACTTCTGAATCATCTTTTCACGAGGGTGGACTTTTAAAACCCGTACTGGGGTTCATCATTTGCTTCTTCTGGCACAGTTTCTTTCCTTCACGTTTGCACATCACTTTCTACTTGCGCAATAATAAAATATTCACGATTGGGAACTTGCTTTAAAAGCCAAGGTGACTTGGCGATGTCCCTCACCCCAGCTGTGTAAGCCAGTAGGTGCACTTACTTATTTTGCAGCTTGAGAATTTCAATTTGTAGAAAAGGCCCTTCCCCCAAGTGTGTTGCTTAGGTGTAACTTTGTTTTCCTCTCCATGTTACCGTGTGCCATAATGGCGTTCCCAGCTCTATGAAAGAGGAGAAGGTGGCTGCATGGTTGCGTTGAAGGTCTTTTTTCGTCTTCGAGCCATCCTTGAATTCCTTTCTTCCTGCATTCTCATCATGTTGATTGCCATTTTTCCAGCCAGGGAGCCCCAATTCGTTGGCCGTTTTCCACACCTCCTTCCCCTGGGAGAGCCCTTCCTCTGCGTTATTTCTTCGATAAACAGGGGCAGAAAGGACAGCCATCTTGGATAAGCTTCCAGAGGCTCACACATACAGATGTCATTTTTGTGCCCCCAACTTTACCTTTTCTCTGGCCGTAGATAAAATGCCTTTGGAACTTTAATCTCAGAGGTGCCTTAAGTGATTGTCGGCCTGGGGGAGGGGTAGCAGCTGGACCCCACCCCACAGTGAGGCTCAGAGGATGAAGAAGGGCTGGTGGGAGACCACAGAGGAGGAGACATTGGGTTGACAGTGTCACAGCCTATGGTACACAAGAGGGTTTGATTTCCTTGTACATTTATACTGTTGATTTCCTTTCATGTTTGCAGTGGTTGCACTTTTTAAATTTTTCTCTCTGTTAGTATCTGCATCGCTTGGTTCTAACCCTTGGCAAGTGTTAACAGAAACACTGAGTGCGTTTAGCTGGCATTCATGGCTTAAAGGAAGCAGCTTGTGCCAACAGGACGGTGGCAACCACCAACACATGTCCTAGAGTTTTGAGTTTATTAGCCTCTCATACAGTGCTTTGTGGGATAAATAGGAACCTGGCAGGGATACTCACACGTTTTTCATGAGAAGAGTTATCTTCTGATTTTTTATTTTTTCATCCAATTTTTTAAATTGAAGTCTAGTTAATCCGTAATGTCGTGTTAGCTTCAGGCGTACAGCAGAGTGATGCGGTTATACATATGCGTATCTATTCTTTTTCAGATTCTTTCCTATTATAGGTTATTATAAGATATTGAGTAGAGTTTCCTGTGCTCTACAGTAGGTCCTTGTTGCTCACCTGTTTTATATATAGTAGTGTGTATCTGCTAATCCCAAACTCCTAATTTATCTCTCCCCACCCCGTGCTATCCCCTCCGGTAACCGTAAGTTTATTTTCTATGTCTTGTCTTGATTTAGAAAACCTAAAGAAAAAGACACATCGAAGGGACGTATTTAGCATCCTTTACCATTCTGCCTTTCCCTGTGTGTGTGTTTGTGTGCGCGTTTCCTCTGGGACGACTCATTTGCAGAAAGCATGGCCAGTCGCCCCTATTAAAGAACAATTCGGGGGCAAGTGATCCTGTGTGTGTGTCAATTCAGTTGACCGTTCCAGACAGGTGCCTGTCACCCAGCCCTCGCACCAGGTGTATCGCCCGGTACTGAGTTGTCAGAGCCTGCAGGTTGTCTTGAGGTCGGGGTGCCGGTCTCCCGTCCTGGGGGCCGTGGCTGCTGACACCGCGTCTCCCCACTGCAGGTACGGGGACGTTCGGTCGCGTGCAGCTGGTCCGCGAGAAGCAGAGCACACGTTTCTTCGCCCTGAAGGTGATGAGTATCCCGGACGTCATCCGCCTGAAGCAGGAACAGCACGTTCACAACGAGAAATCCGTGCTGAAGGAAGTCAGCCACCCGTTCCTGGTCAAGCTGTGAGTCCCCTTCGCCGGGTCCCCGCCCTCCCGGACCCCAGGTGGATTTTCCTGCGGGAGGTGGGATGATGCTCACAGCGGGTCACCCTCTGCTGAGACATCTCAGCTCCCGGTCTCGCGGAGAAAGGCGCCGTTCCCACGAGTGCCTGCGCAGGGTGGCACGCCTGGCGCCGCCCCCCCTGCACCAGCCGCGTGTCCACAGGGCCACCTGGGGCCCGCCAGAGGCTCTGTCCCCTCCTCCCACCCCCAGCCCCCTGGACAGCCTGTCCAGTCGGTCTTCCTGGGACCTCAGTCACCTGCTCACCTCTGCTCACTCACGTCGTTTCTTGGGTTTCTAGCTGGCCGTTCAGTGGCCCCATGTCGATGCCTCATAGAACCTTCCAGTTGAAGGTGCCCAATGTGGACCAAATGGATCCCTCTTTCTGCCACGCTCTTTGCTGGCGGAGGGTAAGGCCGTTTCCCACTCAGGGGCCTCAGGTGTGGGCGTCCACAGAGGGCTCTCCGTCCCCATCCCCGGGGGCCGGGCACCGCTTCCCACCCCTTCCGCCGCCTTCCTCACGCCCATTCGCAGCCCCCGACCCCTCCCAGCCCAGCCTGGTGTGGGCCCCCCTCTCTGGCCTGAGTGCCCAACTGTTCTTGGCCTCCCAGACTTGCCTCTTTCAAGGCGTTCTTTGCTTTAACTACAGCCATAGTGATCCCTTCACCCGCACGGCCCTCTGATGACCTGCGTCTCTGCTGACACATCCTCAGGGAATGACCCCAGGGGCTCAGTGGCCTAGAAACGGCTCATCCCGGTCTCTGGCTCTGCCTCTGGCTCTTTTCAGACGCTCTTGCCTCCATCCCAGGAAAGTGACCTGCAGTAGAAGGTGGGAGGTGCCATCCATGTTGTCACCGCAGGGCCACCCGCCCCCCCTGTGGTGCCTCCTTCATCTGCCTCTCCCCACCCCCTGCCTCTCCCACCTCACCCTCACCTGCCTTTCTTCTGCAATACACCTGCCTGTACACAGAGAGACAGGCACCTGCACCCTGCTCTTGGAGCATCTTGCATGTGCCCCAGTGCAGGGAGATAACACCTGTCAGCTCACAGCCACCGGAGCAATGTCCCCAGGGCCCGAAACAGCGTGTCACTCGGAGCACGGACGGGCGGCATGTTTGACGGGTGACAGAAGGGGAGCAGCTGTCTTCTTGTCTTACTTTCCTTTTATGAAGCCCAGTGGCCGTGTTGGGCCAGTGTGGACGGGTCAGTAGAGTCTCATGCTGTTGAGTCATTAAAATCGAAACAAAGAAAGAAGTAGCCGGTGCAGCAGAGCCACCACCCCTCCCTGTTCAGGTCTGAGTCTCCTCTTCGCTGGGAGGTGGTGGGAAGATGGGTAGAAAATCTCATGCGTGTAGATCTTCTTCTGGAAAGAAGAAAAGAAAAGCTTCTACTTCTGGTGTCTCTTCTAGAAACTGAAATAGTGATTCTGGATAACGACTTCAGTTGGCTAGGGTTTTCAGTACACGTTTTGTAAAGGAGCTGTGGACTCCTTTATCTGTTGCCAAGTCATTCTCACGTGATTTAGGAGAATGGTCTTGGGCTTTTACCAAATACAGGAAGTCTCAAGCCAGGACCCCAGGGTGTGTCCCCGAGGGTGCTTTGTGGCTGAGTTTTCCCAGGAAGACGGGGCACCTGGCCGCTGGGTTCCGGTTTGCTCTGGAAACCAAGTGGCGTGATCTGTTATGTGTCTGCAGTGAAATTAGGAGAACACGGAAGAGAAGCAGGTGGAATTGATGGTGAAAACGAAAAGTCTGAGACATTGGTGTCGAGAAGACACAAGTTTGGAGAAGAGGGAAGAAGCCAGTGGGAGGAGTGCTTTCCAGGGCAGTGCGTGGGTGGTGGGCATGCCGCCCAGCGGCTGGCGGGGTTGCTGAGGTCACCTCAACGCATATTTTCTGGGATCAGGCACGCCCCCCCTGGAAACATTAGGGTGATGCTATAGGGAACCTTGGGGGATGGCTTCCATTCTGGGAACTCCACCTTGTTGTGGGTTGAATTGTGTGTCGTGTCCCCCCCAACCCCTGCAAAAGATACGTTGATGTCCTGACCCCCAGTACCCGTGAACGTGACCTTATTTGGAAGTTGGGTCTCTGTAGGTGTAATCAAGATGTAGGTCGAGGTCCTACAGGAGTAAGGTGGGTTCTCCATCCGATGTGATGGGTGCCCTTGTAAACAATCGGAGAAGGCACACAGAGAGGAGAAGGCCACGTGAAGACAGAGGTGGAGATTGGGGGTGATGCGGCCGTAAGCCGAGGAGCCCCAGGGATTGCTGGCAACCACCAGAAGCTATAGAAGAAGCTAGGATGGATCCTTCCCTGGAGATTCTAGAAGGAACCACCAACACCCTGATCTTGCACTTCTGCCCTCCAGAACTATGACAGGATGCATTTCTGTTGTTTAAGCCACCCAGTTTGTGGTCTTTTGTTACGGCAGCCCCAGCAAAGTAACACACACCCCCTCGTCTCCTGGAGTGGGGACCAGCCTAGGTGATGGGCTCTGGAGATGCTTTCTAACTATGTCAGAGGAGTCCCCAGGATAGAATCCTTGAGCTTTTGGGACGTTAAAAGGGAATAGGGAAAAGGAGGACCGTGAAAAACAGAGCTTTAGTCAGACAACTCTGCTTCCTTGACTCCTGGACAGCTAATCAGGAGGTTTCCTCATCAGGTAGGGTAGACTGCCGAATCCAGAGGGACGCAGATTCTGTATTCCGATGTTCCGATGTTCCGTGCTTTTGGATAAGTACCTGAATTGTTTCCATCACAAAGGCTGTAAGACCTACTTTCAGTGGGATGGAATTTGACCCCAGGTTATCTAAATCGGGTTTTCTCTAATTTTAAAGAGTGTGATCTCTCTGCACTGTGGTAGCTCTGTAATCTGACAGTCTCTTTGCTACCTTGATATTCCTGTTGCCATACAGCTCACTGGGTGCAGGCACACGTCAGTGTAGTCCTTTTATATGTCAGGTCCACCTGTGCTCCGGCCAACAGGCAGGAACTTCTCCTGGTCCTTTAGTCCACAAGGCTGTCCTCTGCGTGTCTGTGTCCTGGCCTCGTCTTCCTATAAGGACCCCAGCCCTACGGGATCAGGACCCAGCCTAGTGACCTCATTTAACGTTCATCCCCTTTTTAAAGACTCCATCTGTAAATCCAGCCACATGCTGAGGTCCTGGGGGTTAGGACTTCAGCATATAGATTTTGGGGTGGACACTACTACTTAGTGACTTGCTAAGTGCAGCTCTTTCAGTGCACAGGGGTCTTATTATAAAGTATTTGTAGCCTTTGGAAGTTTTCTGTGCATTATCACTTGAGGGACCCGGCAGTGTTTGAAAACTGAGATTAAATTGATCCAGGGTCAGCAGACTCTAGAGGTGCCCCACACGTAACGGGGAGAGCGCTGTATCTGACCAGCCCCGCGAACGGGGGGAGTAGGGTGCCCAGGGCCACTGGATGGGGCACCGGATTTAGTGGGAAGAGACCACGAGGGAAGCAGCTATCGAATCCCCCCAGCTGTGCAGTTTCTCTTGGAAATGAGTTGCTTCTCCCAACATCTGCCTTTCATACTGTCCAGAAGTGTTGAGTGAGCCTTACCTGCGTTCACGTGAAGCCACATGGAATACCGATGATCCCGGGTATCGCGCCGAACGAAGACTCAAGTTTCAACTTCCACTTGAACGATTCGGCAAGTTCGCCCACGGTGTTATTAGCGTTCGGTATTTGAAGTGCTACTGGTTGCGTTGTTGAAAGTCGGCCAGGACGTTCATTACGTCCACATCAGAGAATGCATTCTGTTCTGGGATAAAGCCATCCTGAAGGCCAGTTCAGCCAGCGTAGAGATAATTTTAGAAGAGCTGACAAACTCAGTGTAGAAGGATTGTGTTACAGCCAGGGTGTCCCGGGGAGGAAGGCTTGTGTCCCGCCCCTAGACCAGGACCCTGTGGTCTGCTCCCTGCCCTTTGTGCGTATAGAAATCGCTGGCATCTTAGAGCTGGTGGGATCCAGGACAGGCGTTCTCACCTGGGCGCCACTGACACTGGGGACGGGAAATTCTTTGTGGTGGCGGCTCTTCTGTGTAGTAGAGGAGGTCTAGCAGCATCCCTGGTGTCTACCCACTCAATGCCAGGAGCACACTCCCTCCGTGGTGTGATGGCAAAAAATGTCTTTAGACGTTGACAGAAAATGTCCCAGGGAGTGAAATAGTCCTGATTACAGACCACTGCCTAGATAGATAGATAAGAAAGAAAGAAAGAAAGAAAGAAAGAAAGAAAGCGTGGATGGATGGATGGAAGGAAGAAAGGAAGAATAGGCAGGCGATATAGAAATAGATAGTGAGATAAATAGATAGGTAGATATTTGGGTAGATGGATGGATGGATGGATACACAGATGGTAGACAAATGATTAAATAGGTTGACGGATGGATGGATGGGTTGAATGATGGATGGATGGTTGGTTGATAACGCCTGTGATAGGGGCACACACAGAGATTAGGTGGGTGTGGGTGCATTCTCACTTTCCTGTCCCAGCCCCTGCACGTGGAGTTCCATCATTTAGTCTTGGTGATGAGCCTGTGGACCCAATAACAGTCCCAGTGCCGTGTCACTCATTGCGCAGTAGAAGACCCAGCTAGCCAGCCATGTTTCATTGGCTTTCCCCTGCGGATCTGGGTATGAAAGAACTCAGAGGTCCATCACCCATGGGGCACATCCTTCTCATTATTGGCGAAATGACAGCTCGGATCTCCACGTAGAGGAACTTGGGTCTTAGTCTGGAGAGGACGAGCCCATAGCCTAAAGGAAAGGTCTTTCTTCCTGCCCACAGACTTGGGTCTGGTGTGCACCTCCATTGGCACAGGGACGGGTCTTTCTTCCTGCCCACAGACTTGGGTCTGGTGGCATCTCCATTGGCACAGGGACGGGTAGTTAGTAAAACTGTTCCTTGGCCTTGCTGATAGTTCAGGAGGAAGGA